TGGGAGCAAAATATGTACTTGTACTGTTAATCAAACTATAATAAAATAAATATATAAAAAATAAAATAAAAGCATTAATAAAAATAATAATAATAAACGAGCCCAATTTTAAAATTTCTCAAATTTTCCATTGAAATCATGTCATATTTTAATTGTTTTGTGTTGCTTTTGAAGATTTGCATAATAAATCAACATTCATTTATTATATGCAATAGAGACAAGGCTATTAAATAAAATAATATATAAACAATTTATTCATTAATTTTCCTTTGATTTAGTCCCTTTATTCATCAGGGGTTGCTACAGTGGAATGAACCGCCAACTTACTCTTGCATATGTTTTACACAGCGGATACCCTTTCAGCTGTAACCTAGTACTGGGAAACATTCATACACACACATTCACACACACACAAACACTAAGGTCAATTTAATTTATTCAATTCACCTATACCGCATGTCTTTGGGCAGTGGGGGAAACCGGAGCACCCGGAGGAAACCCACGCCAACACAGGAAGAATATGCAAACTCCACACAGAAATTTCAATTGAGCCAGCCGGGACTCGAACCAGCTACCTTCTTGCTCTGAGGGGACAGTACTAACCACTGAGCCACTGTATAGCCTATATAAATAATAAAATAAATAACAAATAAATTAATGAATTAATTGGGTTTAATTAAATGATGACAGAAGTTTCATTCCTGGGCAAACTATTGCTTGAAATAAGATTGAAATAAGAAGTCCTGAATGTCAATCAAACACAAAGACAATAGACAGCTAAATAACACACAGAAATAAGTTGTCATAGCAATAAATAATATTGATAATAATAATAACAATCTGTTTAACAAGACTGACATATATTTCACCTGCATAGATTTGTGCTAGAAGCTCTCAGAAATCTTAAAGGTTTGACACTGATGTTCTCAATTAATCTATCTTGTAGCTTTACAGTTAAATTAACACAACTTACCAATGAGTATAGATGGGTGAATGAATTTATTGGGATGGAATAAATATCCCTGCCTAAAATTGCTAGTGAAAAAACACAGTACATTTGTTTTGTTTTTTAAATATGTAGAATGGCTTCCAGTGTATATAAAACGCATGATATTTGGAAACATCTCCTCAACATAAATAAAAAAACGGTTAAACGATTATAGATTTATATATTCGGATATATTCACCAGTATTTTCTTTGATTATACACTACTTGACAAAAGCCTTGTTGTAAGAGCAACAAATAATAACTTGACCTCTAGTTGATCATTTGGAAAAGCAGAAGGTCGATTTTTCAGATGGATCATGTTGAACTGCATCACTATTATCACAAATACAGCAGAAGACTATTGGAAACCGGATGGACCCAAGATTCTCATAGAAATCAGTCAAGTTTGGTGAAGGGAAAATCATGGTTTGGGGTTACATTCAGTATGGAGAGATCTGCAGAGTGGATGGCAACATCACCAGCCTGAGGTATCAAGACATTTGTGCTGCCCATTACATTACAAACCACAGGAGAGGGCGAATTCTTCTGGACATTATTTCTGTTAAGTGACAAGACTTTTGTCTAAGCAAAGTCAGATCTTACTGTCCAAATTAAATCATTAATAATCAAGGCATGATCTTATTTTATTCAGTCAAATAAGCGTCATCTAGAGGTCTTTGCGTTTCATGTAAGCCATTTCTGATACCAAATGATCAACTTGAAGTCAAGTTATTATTTGCTGTTTATAAGACTTGGATAGGCGACAAGACTTTTGTCAGGTAGTGCATAGCAGGAAAAACAGATATGGAAGTCAATGGATATTAGCTTCCAGCTTTCTTCAAAAGATATTTGTAAGTAAGTCAGGTTTGAAACAAGTAAAGGGAGAGTACATGATGACAGATTTTTCAGTTCCGGGTGAACTACACTGTAAAAAATATCCAAAAATTAGAGGTTTTCCATATTTTATGATTCAGGTTATAATTTCCCTCCATTTATTCATGCTTTTGAATTGCATTATGGGAGCTTGTTCTTTATTCCAACAACTTTTAACCTGGAAAAGTCAGAAAAGTGTCTTTTATGAACATTTTTTTAAAGTTTAAAGTGATGTATTGTCTGGGTTGGTGTTGTATACTATGCCAGTGGTTTCCAACCTTTTTTTGCCTGAGACCCCCTTTTTCCACTGGAAAATACTGTGAGGCCCCTTCTTTATTGCTCATATTGGTTTGCAGTAATGATGACAAAGAATGTTGTTTTCAAACAAACAATATGTTTATTACCATATCTAAATATGCTTATGCACAAATAATAGCCTAATGTAAACAAAGGCCATTTTTAACTGAAAAACATAAGCCTTTGGCCTTTAAATGGATCATATAACATTATATCAGTTGACAATTAGTTGACAATTTTTTAAAAGTTTTTTGTCAGTAGCTGTGACGTCCTTCATATCGTTTTGTGTCAATTCTTTTGCCTTGCGCTCAAAAAATGCTCTGAGCTTGTCGCGGTATTGAGGATGAGTCGTCTGCAAATGTCTTATTAATTTGGACGGCCTCATGCATTCGTTAGCAAAAACACTGGTGCAGATAATACACAGTGGCTGGCTCAGGAACTCTATGCTTAGAAAATGGAATAAAACCATAGTTCAGGTAACTATCTTGGTATTTCCTGCATTTCGTGTTTCTAGTATTGCTAGCGCGCGACCCAAAATGTTTGGAGCTTTCTCAACTGGATCGAGTATGCTTGGGTTATTACTATTAGCTGCTGGAGGCGAATCAGTGAGACTCTTTTTTGTGGAGGACGAATGACAAATTTGTAAATTTTTTGGTCAGCCATGGGATAAAATGAACTAAGGCAACATGGTCGTAATGATTCTCCTAATTGTCCACTGCTGGACTTGTTAAAAATATGACAAGACACCCCACAAAGCTCGCTGAGGCCCCCTTGTGGGCTGGGACCCCCTGTTGGGAACTGCTGTACTATACCAGGGGTTCCCAAACTTTTCAGCCCGCGACCCCCAAAATAACAATGCCAGTGACTCGCGACCCCCAATATCCTCTGAGGTGGTTATAAATACAGAAACCTAGCATGCAATGACGCAGACACACCAATTAAATTTGTGTCAGTGCTTTAAATGTGCCAGAAAGTATAACCTGATGTTATAAAATCAAAATGCATCTGACGCTATTGCTGCCTTTAATATAATGTAATTACCCCAGGGGTCGCAATCCAATAGAACTTGTAACTTTAAGCTACTATAGTAACTATATAGTATATTATAGTATATATATGTGCTAGGTATAGTATATAGTATAACGACTATTTTTATTTTTTAGTATAGTTAGGGATAAAATATGTTAATTCTTATTGTTTAATAAAAAGAAATAGATTTTTGGAAATCACCAGGGGCCTCATGTATCAACGCTGCGTACGCACAAAAACTTTGCGTACGCCAGGTTTCACGCTCAGAATCGCTCACGTTTGGATTTACTAACAATGAACTGAACGTGGGAATGTGCGCAGCTTCACGGCAGCTTTCTAGCTGGCGTACGCACATTTTTTGTGCGTGTCTGTTTTATTTCCATTGGCAACTCCTAGAGGCAGTTGTGTTAAATTCTTCTCTACAAAGTGTCTGAGCCTTGCAATGGCAGCTGTATGAGACGGGTTCATCTAGCAGGTAAATAAGGTTTCCATACCATACATTTGACCAGCTAAACATTAAAGCACAATTTGCAGCGGTCGCCTGTTTTCCCAATGTAATCTGAGCAATCTACTGCTCGCACATTGCTATAAAGACACTATCTGAAGATGAATTTGCATGCGTGAATCAGAAACATTTTCATTCAATAAATGTGCAAATAAAATATGATGCTTATTGATATGAACTTATTGATGATTCCCACTTGTCTTTCTCGTGATAAATAGTTGGCAAAATCTGATGTGTAGCGGGGGAAAAAACAAGAAAGACTTCATCAGACGCTGGATTCGAGCCGAGTTCATGCTCGAATGTATCAATTCATGATCACATGCGTCTTACGAGCGCGCCACTGAAACTGTTAAGCGTCCTGTAACATTTTATAGATATAAACCACACTATTTCTTTTTTTTTTAATGCACTCTGCGATATGTTCAGACCCAACTGTGTTGACCGCATCAGCTAAACTCTCCCACTCTATTTTTTTCTTTTGTTGTTAAATCCGGAGAACAAACTTGCAAATAACACCGCTTTTCTCCGGTCTACCTCCGAAAGCAGCACCTCCAATTCACATTCTGTTCAAAGTTTCTCTTTTTGCTTGCTTTTGCCTTTGCTTTTTCGTTGGGTTTTTCCATTAGCATAGTCATTTGCATATTCATACGGGGGAGGAGGCAGGGAGGGGTTTTGTGCTCGTGCATGTTGCGCTCAGTTTCACGTTCATTCAGATGTACAAAAGAATATGCGTGAGATTCGGCGTACGCAGTGTTTCATACATCTGAATTTTTTTCTGCGTACGCACATTTACAACTTTGTGCATACGCAATGTTTTAGTATGATTTCCACGCAAGTCTTCGTACATGAGGCCCCAGGCGACCCCCCTTCATTGCCCCGCGACCCCTCGTCTACACTACTACACTACAGAAACCTTGAAATAAGCTGCCAGTACATTTTCTGTTATTTTACACACTTAATTCTCTCTATATTATATCATATACTATTTTAAACAACTAAAATGTCAATAAAAGTCACTTTGTTAAACTGTAGTTGAATTATCAGCATAAAAAGTCGACAGACTAGAGATCAACATCCCATAATAAAATTCACAACCATAAATAAACAGTTTTGTGAATCACAAAATATGCAAACTCTTCATTAACACATTTTTTTTTACAGTGTTTCCCTTTAAGAGTAAATTATTAGACATATTTTATGCCCTGACATTTAATGCACTGACTGAGCTGTTGGAGTGTGTGAATGGCTTACTACTGTAAATCTCTGCATATTAAAGAGAGACAGAAGAAGGAATGGCTTGACGGGGGGTCAGTGCTGATGCTCATGGACGACTCGTGGGTTGAGTTTGTCGCTGAGTTTTTGGATGAGGAGAGAAAGCTCTTCAGTGGCCTGAGATTTCTCCTCCAGCAGCTCATACCGCAGACTGGAGATATCCTGCTTTATCTCCTTCAGCTCACCTGCAGATCACACACGCACAAATGTTTTAGATGTTAGCTTCAGTCTGTTAGTTTTAAGGATACGTACAAGCTAGTGTGCTCCAAAAGAGTGACAACATTCGCTTTAAGAAGATATAAAACTGATATAAACATTCAAAGCTTGCAGTTTGTCACTTTCACCTAAATGTCACCTCATACTTGAGTTTCTCATCAAATCTTCTGACCAATCAAATGCCCTCTAGTATCTAACATGCCCCGCCCCCCTTTAAGATGCTTCTCATTTGCTTTTTATTTGATGTGTTTAAACTCAACCACTCTCACTGGCAGAGCTGGTTAAAATGAATTGGCTGTTTTTTAAAAAAGGGAGGAGCTACTGTATGGCCGGCCCTCTCTTCCTGATTTAGTTTAGATTAAGTCAAACATCAAATAAAAAAAATGCACATTTCAAAGCACTTCACAGCACCTTAAACTGCTATGAAATGGTTATGGAAACATCACACAATGTAATTAAAGGTTCTCATAGGCGTCATGTTCTGTAAGCAATTAACATTTGAACTTATTAAGATAACTAATTATTTAGTTCAAATATGTTTAATTGGAATGATGTGCAAAAAATTGCCTCATGACTAATTGTCTAAGAAATATCTGTGATTATGTCGACTAATTGTGTGTTTTGGGATTTGTCATGTTATTGTGCACTTGGTTATTAAATGTTTACTAATTATTGTTATGAATTGATTTTTTATTTGTAAATCACCAGTTTTCACCTTAAAATAATTAAGTAGTAATTATATGTATGTATACAGAGCCCTCTTGTGAATTGTTTTTTTATTTAAATTTATTTATTTATTTATTTATTTATTTATTTATTTATTTATTTATTTATTTATTTATTTATTTATTTATATTTTTATTATTTATTTTATTCATTTATATATATATATATATATATATATATATTACAATTTCTATGTATTTATATTTTTATTTACTTATTAATTCATTAATTATTTAATATATGTTTAATTTATTTATTTCATAGTTTTTCTTTTATTTATTTATTTATTTATTCATATATATATATATAATTTATTAGTTTGTTTGTTTATTTATTTACCATTATGTTTAACAGATGAAAGAAATTAAGCTGAATTAAAAAAAAGTTTTTACATTTTCAGGAATAATTTTAAAGTCAATATTAATTCATTATTGCTATTATTATTATTATTATTATTATTATAAACAAATTTTTATTGATTGGATACAGAACAAAATCACTGTTGCCCAATGACTAATATTCATTTATTTTTTTCATATATTTATTTATTCATATAATTATTTATCTATTTATATTTAAGTATTTATTTTATTTATTTTTTATATTTTAATTAAATAATAAATTTATTAACTTATTTATTTATTTATTTATTTATAATATTTATTTCCCATAATGTTTTACAGATCAAAGATATTGGGCTGGATTTAAAGCAGTTTTTACAGTTTTAAAAACAATTGTCAATATTAATCATTATTATCAAGTCAATATTAATTCATTATTAAACAATTTTTATTGATTGGCTACAGAACAAACCACTGTTGCCCAATGACGTTTTAATTAGCACGAAGAATAGATTTTACTTTCCATACAACCTTTTGTGGACTGAAAGTCAGCATGGATGTTCAATATTCATAATGCCACTGTTTTATTATACTCACACTTTGCATTACTGCATTTATACCATTTAAGCAGCAATTAAAGTGTCTTTCTCATCCTGAACATCGCTATCAATCACTATAATTACTTCATCATCCTTATTTGGTATCCACTTATAGTTTCACCTTCATTGACTTCATCGTTCTCCTTGTCCACTTGTGCTTTCAGAACGTAGCGCTTGATGAGACGTTTCATTATTTGCTGTGTGAGCAGAGAAGCAGACAAAAGGCGCATCAGAAAGACAGATAAGAGTGAAACTTGATTATTCATCACACAGGACAGAGAGATGACGGTGGTCTTGCCTGATAGCGGGTGGGCTGATTTAAGATGCTGTTGAAGCTGTGAGAGTCTGTCATCCTCATGCTGGACTGAGTGAAGAGATTCAGCTGGAAACAAAGACAAACGACAGAGTTAAACCACTCAAACTCAAACAATTGCCTCGACATAACATTTAATATTTGTTTTTGATTGTCTGCAGATTGTTATGACTTGCTTAATTACTCTAAATTGCCTAATTAACCTAGTTAAGCCTTTAAATGTCACTTTAAGCTGAATACTAGCATCTTGAAAAATATCTAAGATATTATGTGCTGTCATTATAGCAAAAATAAAATAAATCGGTTATTAGAAATGAGTTATTAAAACTATTATGATTAGAAATGTGTTGAAGAAATACTCTCTCCGTTAAACGGAAATTAAGGGGGAAAATACACAGTAAGATCTAATAATTCTGACTTCAACAATATTGTTATTAGTTACCCTAAAATTAATAGTTTTTAAATATAATGTTTTCTATTAATAACAGTAATATTAATATTGATACTAAACATTTATTCATTATCCAAATATGCTCTCTGTGGGAGAGCATATTATTATTTTCTTTTGAATATAATGTACTTTAATTTAAAAACTAGTGTACAAAAACGCCGAATAAAATATAATAATATATGTTTATCCATTTACAACGTTTGTCCACCAGGTGGCCTAAAAGACCACTGAAAATCACTGGAGACCTACAACTTTTGTTTAAAGTATTAATGAAATGCATGAACTAAACTACCTAAACAACTAACTAAACTAAATGCAACAAAAATAATAATAAAATAATATATATATATATATATATATATATATATATATATATATATATATATATATATATATATATATATATATATATATATATATATATATATATATATTACATTATTCCATATTGAAGATAAAACTATTAAATATTACATAAAATAAACCTGAAAAAAAAAAATACAGAAGTCAGGAGCGGCGCTGTGGCTCAGTGATTAGCACTATCGCCTCACAGCAAGAAGGTCGCTAGTTTGAGTCCCAGCTGGGCCAGTTGGCATATCTGTGTGGAGTTTGAATGTTCTCCCTTGACGTGGGTTTTCTTCAGGTGCTCCAGTTTCCCGCACAGTCTAAGCACAGGTGAATTGAATAAACTAAATCGGCTGTAGTGTATGAGTGTGTGAATGAGTGTATGAGTGTTATGCTAGGTTGCAGCTGAACGGGTCTCCCCTGTGTAAAACATGCTGAAATAGTTGGCAGTTCATTCCGTTGTGGTGAACCCAGATGAATAAAGGGATTAAGCCTCTCATTCTCCGGGTATGAGCGGGCGCTGCCATTTGAATGTTTTTGGCTGGAGACTTGCGGTCTCATTCACATCCATTCACTTTTAGACGTTAAAAACAGCTTGTTATGCTGGTTGATGTTGTAAACTGATATTTTCTGATTATATTATTCTATTTTGTCTGTATAGTCATGTAAACACTTGTTTGTAGAGCAAGTAGTTTGATTGTTTTCTGATGTTTATTATTCCTAGTCATTTATCCCATCGGAGACTGAATCTGAAGTTCTAAAACAATCGCAAAAACGAACGCAGTTCTGCATTAAAGAATAAGGTCAATACAATGGTATGTAATATTTTTAGCCAGTTTTATGAAAGTTGAAATCTCTAGGAAAGCTGGTCACACTTTATTCAAGGTACAATTCTTGCTATTAACAAACCATTAATTAATTAGCTCAATAAACTACTAACTAGCTGCTCGTTTGAGCTAGATTAGCTGCTTTTTGAGCTAGATGCTAATGGTCTAATCCGAATCAATGATCTATGCTAAGCTAGGCTAAAAGTGCACCCGCCAGAATCTAAGATGGGCAAAAAAAGGCAGAATTCATTTGAAATTTGGTTGCAAACTATTTATATGGGCTGAATTTAACATATTAGACCATTGGCGTCTAGCTAAACAAAAGTAAAAAATCGGATCATTTTAGAGCGAGATGCTAATGGTCTAATCCAAATTCAATGATCTATGCTAAGCTAAGCTAAATATTTTTTAAGGTAAGTGGCTTCAAACTATTAATATGGGCTGAATTTAAACAAACATACTAGACCATTAGCGTCTAGCTAAAAAAATGGTCAAAACTCTGGTCAGTTTTGGGCAAGATGCTAATGGTCTAATCCGATTTAATGATTTTATGCTAAGCTAAAAAGTTTTGTTAAAGGTAAGTGGTTGCAAATACTTTATATCAGCTGAATTTAAACAAACATTAGACTGTTAGAATCTAGCTAAAAATGCTAAAAATAGCCAAAAATGGTCAAATTTGGTCGTTTTTAAGCAAGATGCTAATGGTCTAATCTGATTCAATGAATTATGCTAAGCTAAGCTAAAAGTTTTTTAAGGTAAGTGGCTTTAAACAATTTATATGGGCTGAATTTAAACAAACATCTCAGACTATTAGCATCTATCTTAAAAATGGTCAAAACTCTAGCCAATTTTGAGCAAGATGCTAATGGTCTAATCCGATTCAATGATTTATGCTAAGCTAAGCTAAAAGTGCTCCCGCCAGACCCCAAGATCGGTTAAATGGATTCAAAAACTCTAGAAGACTTGTGAAGTTGGCTTGTTTGCTTATGCTTATGTTCCTTTAATGAATGTTCCGTGATCAGTTCAACACATGACATCTGAAAACAGATCTTGTGTCTCCAGCAGATGATGCCCAGCTCGTGCTCTTGTCTGCTGTTCAATCATGCAGCCCACAGGAGACGCGGCTCCGATCACAGTCAATTAGATGAAGCCGCAGATGAATCACAGTAATGCGGTTAGTGTTTTCCTCACGAGAGATGAAGTGATATTTGCCCTGAGGAGCAGTCATCAGCTCTCACCTCTTCGTCTTTAGTTTTTTTCTCCTCAAGCTGAACTGAAATCGATTGTCTCCGCAGGCTAAAACAAGGTCAGGGGTATCCGTCTTTTTTTCATGGGACCACTGGAAAGCTGGTTTTGCTTGGGAAACGTCGATAGGTTAATGACATAGAGAGACATTATCTGCTGTTTATTGGACAGATCGATCATTGTGGCTTATTGTCACTGGACAAAGAGAACGGTCGCAGTGAGAATGCAGGCGAGCTGATGGGAAATGAATTGTCTTGAGTGAATTATCACGTCGGGAGCAGAGCGGATGGAGGAGAGCTGAGCTATAGTTATTATCTGAATGAAAGCTGAAGAGCTGTGTAAAACTACAGACATCAGAGGGAGAACACTAGATGGAGAATTCAAGAGATTGATACTCTTTCTTGCAGACACACACACACACATGCACATGCACACACACTCTCACGGTAGTTCTAAGTGGAATAAAAAAAAAGCACACATACACACACTGTTGTTGCAAATAAATGAAAAAAACACACCCGCACACACACACGCACACACACACACACACACACATACATGAACATGCACACGCTCCTTATGGTTCTAAATAGAATTAAATAAATCTCACACACACACGCACACACGCACACACACACACACACAAACACACACACACACACACACACACACACACACACACACACACACACACACACACACACACAAATATACACAGGCACTTTCAATACGTCCAAAGGAATAAAAAATGCACACAGACGAACACACACACGCACACACACACGCACACACACACTCACTATAGTTCCAAAAGGAATACAAAATGCACACACATACACGCACACACACACGCACAAGCACTATAGTTCAAAAATTAATAAAAACTGCACACACACTCAAACTTGCACACATACATGTACACACACTATGCACACACACACACATAAACACAAACACGCACACATTCCCACACACACACTCACTATAGTTCCAAATGGAATAAAATTATCTCTCTCTCACACACACACATATATGTACATGTAAAAACTAATCATAGTTCTAAATAGATTAAAAACACACACACACACACACACATATGTACATGCACACAAACACATAGACACACACTCACTGTAGTTCCAAAATTAATAAAAAAAAAATCACACACACATGCACACACACACACACACACACACACATACACTTTCTATAGTTTCAAATGGAATAAAATGATCTCTCTCACAAACGCACACACACACACACACACGCACACACACACGCACGCATACTCATGGTAGTTTCATATGAAATACAAAAAAACTCACATACACACAAACCATAGCTCCAGATGAAATAAAAAAATCTCACACTCACACACACACACATACACACCCAAAATCAGACTCCAAAAGGTCTCCACAATTCCCTGGTATCGCTATACTTGTGGGGACATTTGGTCACACACACTTATACACTACAGGAAGGGTGTCCAAAGTCTGTCCCGGAGCGCCGGTGTCCTGCATAGTTTAGCTCTAACTTCCTTCAACGCACCTGCCTGGAAGTTTTTAGCATACCTAGAAAGAGCTTGAGCATCTGGTTCAGGTGTGTTAGATTGGGGTTTAATTCCTGTAAAATATGCAGGACACCGACCCTCCAGGACCGAGTTTGGGCAACCCCCCACTACGGGCAATTTAGTTCATCCCATTTCCCTATATGTGTTTGGACTGTGGGGGAAGCCGGAGCTCCCGGAGGAAACCCACACGTACATGCAAACTCCACACAGAAATGCCAACTGGCCCAGCCGAGGTTCAAACCAGCGACCTTCTTGTGGTAACCACTGAGCCACCGTGTCACAGACCAAATGCTACCATTTTCACACAAACAGACATGAGAATGTCCCCCCCCTCCACACACACACACACACACACACCAAACAAATGTCCTCATAGTTGAAAGCAGACACATACTTTGGACTTGGAGTTGTCCATTCCCAGCTCCACGTCTTTTTTGAGGCGACGCCGGCGACACCGCAGCAGGTTCACTAGTCTCTTGACGCACAAATAGAAGGACTTTGGACTGGGCACGATGCTGAATGGAGGCGGCAGAGTCTTGCCATTATCAAAATATGACAGCCAGAGTTTAGACCGGGCAAACTTCCACTCCACGTCAGCATCATCCTGCAAGAAACAGACCATTAGATACTGTTAAAAAGTATTATAAATCATAAAACTATAAACCATCGAGTTCATAAAAAGGGTAATATAAAAAATAAAAACGATTAATATTCATATAAAATAATTAATATAGCAATGAAGGTGAATTAATAAATTTAAGCTCTTTCTAGGTTCCGTCTCTCATCTCAGCCTGCCTGACATTTCACACTGGATGAAAGATCATCATCTTTAGCTTAACCTCACGAAAACAGAAATGCTTGAAGTTTCTGCCAACCCGACTCTACATCACAACTTTTCAATCCAGATGGATGGGGCAACCATTACTGCATCCAAAATGGTGAAAAGCCTTGGAGTAATGATTGATGACCTACTAAACTTCTCTGACCACATCTCTAGAACTGCTCGATCGTGCAGATTCGCACTCTACAACATCAGAAAGGTTCGACCCTTCCTATCTGAACATGCAGCTCAACTCCTTGTTCAAGCTCTTGTTCTTTCCAGACTGGACTATAACAACTCTCTACTAGCCGGGCTCCCAGCTAACGCTATCAAACCTCATCAGCTGCTTCAGAACGCAGCAGCACGAGTGGTCTTTAATGAACCTAAAAGAGCACATGTCACTCCGCTACTCATCCGTTTGCACTGGCTGCCAGTTGCTGCTCGCATCAAATTCAAAGCTCTGATGTTTGCCTACAAAGCGAATTCTGGCTTTGCTCCTTATTATCTGCTCTCACTCCTGCAAATTTATAGGCCCTCCAGAAACTTGCGTTCTGTGAATAAAAGTCGCCTCGTGGTTCCATCCCAAATAGGGAAGAAATCACTTTCCCGAACTCTCGCTCTCAATCTGCCCAGTTCGTGGAATGAACTCCCTAACTGCATCAGAACGGCAGAGTCACTCACTGTCTTCAAGAAACGACTAAAAACTCAACTATTTAGTCTCCATTTCCCTTACTAATCTGCAATTGCCTCTCTGACTCCTCCACTAACTACAAAAAACATTTTTTAAATAAATAAATTACTAATGTTTTGCTTACACTTTCTTTACATACCTGAAACTTGCCTACAGCACTTATTCATTGTTGCTCTTATAGTTGTGTAAATTGCTTCCTTGTCCTCATTTGTAAGTCGCTTTGGATGTAAGTGTCAGCTAAATGACTAAATGTAAATTTCAGATATTAACTTTATGGGCTCTATTTTGACGGTCCATGCACAGAGCGCAAAACGCAGGGCGGAAACGCTTTCAGGGCTTTAGAACGCATTTTTGCTAACTTAAGGACGGGAAAATCCGCTTTGCGCCGTGGCACATAGTCTAAAAAGGTTGAGTTTATTTTCTTAATGAGTTATAGGTGTGTTTTGAGAATAAACCAATCAGAGTCTCATTTTCCATTACCTTTAAGAGCCAGCTGCGTCGTGCCATAAGCGCATTGCTATTAACATGACGTAAAGTAAGTTCACTTTCGCTTTTGCTCTCGTGGATAGGGAAACCTTACCGCACAGACATCAATTAGCCTATAAATAATTAATTTAGTTTGTTAAGCGCAAATGTTTGTTTCAAAACTATTTCTAAATTCAGTTCTAATTTCTAGCAAACGAATAAATGAACAATAATAACCAAGTGTGGTCAAAATACTGAGTTATTTCCAAATACACCTGCCATGCCCCATATGGTCTAAAACCTGACAGGTGAACAAATCTAAGCTTGTTTTTAATAAAACAAATATAAATATGGATATAATAAATAATACTGTTAATAATAATAACATTATACAAAAGCAAATTGAATAAACTGAAAAAGCCTCCCGAGATGAAGAAAGTATGAAGGCAATGGTTTTTAAATTCATGTGGGCTAGAAATTAATATGTTTTGTAATATTTTAATCATTTATATTTATATCTTATATATATCCTTAATATATATATATCCTTAATATATTATATCTTTTTCATATGTAAAGATATTTGCGTATTGCTCTGCATCTTGTTTGTAGTGTGTAAGGCAGGCGCACTTTGCGCCAGACAATAGACCGACTTTGTTCTGGTCTAAAGATCAGACTATTTACAGTTTCTCAAAATAGCAACGCGGCAAAACACGCCTGCTTTTTTAGACCAGAATGCCTATGGGCGCACATTTGAGCGCAAATGCATTTGCTATTTAAACAGCGTGGCGCAACACCTCAAAATGACCCTTGCGCCAAACTTAAAGTAGTAAAAGACTATTGCGCTGCGCCTTGCGCCACATTGCGCCGGGTGTATGATAGGGCCCTATATATTAGAACTACTATAAGTGTTACAACTCTAACATTTCCAATAAGATCCAGTTCATCTGAATTGTGTTGTGATAGGGTTAAGACTTACATATTTTTTTTTTTTGGTTCGAATTGATGCTGAACGGCACTAGAAATGTGAAGTATGGGCTATTTGCACAAGTATAATTGCTCAGCAAGAGATGAAACCCTGTCAACTGTCCTCAAAGGCTGTAAGAGTCCTTCTGAAAGATTACAGTCATTTTGACAGCAGTGTTAGGGAGGGTTTCAGACATGCAGCTCTGATTCTTTTCTCCCAGGGGATTATCAGAAACGAAGGGGACACGCTTGATCTGATTCCAGACTTATTTTGGGCAAAGAATCTACTGTATGAGCATACAGTTACATTGCATTAAAAGGTTTTAAAAATGAGTTTCCATGGTAAAGGTTGTTTATAGGGACTTTTTTCATAACTGTTGCTTTTAAAATCTTAATCGTCCAATAAATAACTCACCTCTATTTCCTGGTATGAGCTGTTTATCATGGCAATGAGCATGTTGAGCAGAACCACCACCATGGTAACATTGTAGATCCCGTACAGCACGTAGCCAATATTCTCGATAAACTTATGATCATATTTCAAAACCACAGACGACACTTCGGACAGTCCAAATATAGACCAAAAGAGAGTCTTGAAACTCTCCTCAACCCTGTGAAGAGAGAAAAAAAGGAAAGAGAGATTAAATAGGTTAAAGCTAGGGTAATTAAGTAATTCATTGTATAACGAAGGCTTGTTCTGCAGACAAAAAAAATTGCTCAAGGGGGCTAATAATATTGACCTTAAAATGGTTTTAAAAATTTTAAAAACTACTTTTTATTCTAGCCGAAATAAAACAAATAAAACTTTTTCTAGAAGAAAAAATATTATAGGTAATACTGTGAAAAATTCCTTGCTCTGTTAAATATCATTTGTAAAACACTTGAAAAAGAAAGAAAAATATTTCATAATTTTGACTTCAGCTGTAGTGTTAGATTAGCCAACAGTTTAAGATTCCATCACCGCATCACATGATTCACTTGTGAGTAAAACCAGCAGCCGCTCCAGACAATCGGATGAAATCTTCTGGGAAATGAAACGTCTTGAGATTAGATGAGGAGAATAACAGCAATGTAAATCTCCCTAATGTCCCTGGAGATGTTGTGTGAAAATGAACAATCTCCGCTCGCACGGACACTGATTGAGGAAACCACTGCAGGCTGGATTGTATAGGGGGAGATACATACAGCACACACACATACACATACACACGCTGACTTGTAGGACTCGTCTCATCACTTCTCGCTCGCTGTGAAACAAAGCTTCTCCAGTTGAAGTCAGTCTACTGTGAAATGAGCTCAAGACTCACGCTTGATGCTGGAGGACCAGAGTTCATTTCACAGGCCTGAGTCGACCACCGCTGTATACACACACATACACACACTGTCACGTTCGGTGAGGGGAAAAAGGAGCGAGGACTCAGGTGCAGCAAATAATGGGTGTTTATTAAGAATAAAATAAAACAAAAAGGCAAAACAAACAACCCCGAGGGGGAAAACTCTAATAAAACAAATAAACGAACAAACAAACTTGACTAGACTGGCAGGACTGGCAGGACAAGACAGGGCTGGACACAACAAGACAGGAAACAATCGACGACGAACTGGCAAAGGACTGAAAACATGAGGGGGATTATAAAGCAAAAAGTAAATTGACACACAGGTGAACACAATTAACTAATGATGGGTTAACAAGGAGGGTGGGACTAGAGTAGACAATAGACGGGAGAGCGCATGACACAGAGATACAATACAAGCCATGCGCTCACATAACACAACACTGAAGCACACGACAAAAGCACGTGACCACAATGTAAACACCGAGCCACGTGCTTTGACAAAAGACGCAAGACACGAGCACACGATGAATGAAAGCACTCACCGTGCGCTCACAAAACCAAAACCAACAAGACTGAGACGCTGGGAATGAAACACCACGCTGCTGACAAACGAAAACACAAACACGAGTACAAGAGCGCACGCGTCTGAGGGACGAAGAGCGCGCGCGGCCGCGTCAAGCAGAAGCGCGCACACTCTGCGTACACCCACGACAGCGCGCGCGCACACAGAGACAGAAACAGGACCAGACATGAGTAGTGTCAGAGCTCTGCCACCAAAACAAGAATTTACAAGACCAAAGTGGCAGAACCCTGACACACACACACATACACAGGGGCGGACTGGGACATGACCACGTACACGCATATTCCCTACTTATATTGGTGTAGAGATGGTGAAATAATATAAGCAGTACCATATTTAATAGATATTTAAACATTTTATGTATGTGACTGGAACAAAAACAACCCGTTGTCATTCTCTGCACCTTTACCTAAGGATTAAATACATACTGTAACCTATGCATGTATTTAATGTTCAAAGACTAGCTATGTATTCAAACGCCTATAGTACTACTATACAGGTAGCTATAGGTTCTTTTGCATGTTAGACTATATTGCTAGTACAGTAGGGTACAGCAGTCTATATATGCTAATTCTCAAGTTATCTGCTGATATTGACATTTTAAAATGCACGGGAGTTCTACGCTAAGCTAACAACTGTTAAAGAGTGTAGGTTACTGTCAAAAACGGTCAGAATGGTATCAAATTTGTTAGTATATCTTAGTATAATGACTTAGAAGTATATTTTCTGTTTTCTTCTTACCTCCTCTGCCACGCTACTGTCCTCTGATGCAGCAGCCGAATTAAAACCAGTCGAGATTATTTTAGTTAATTTTTTGCATTTGGCAGCATCTGATTTTAGAGCCCTTTTTTTGGTTTCTTGGAGCTTCTCGGCACTGACTTTCCTTTATTTGCGGTCCATCTCTGACAATTAGCTTAAGTTGCTCTTACTGTATGTTTGACATTCTTGCCAGATTTTGATTCGCATAACCTGTGATTGGGTGGGCCCCTCTCAAAACCAGCCGGCCGTCACCAATTGGGCAAATGCGTAACATATAATTATAATAAAAGCAATAATGATACTTATTTTTATTACTATATTATAATCATCTTCATAATATTCACATTTTGCAAGAGATAAAAGCTGCCTGCTTGTAAAAATAATACATATTAAGAAAAAAAAAAAAAAAACTGTCCAGCCCACATTTAAAAACTGGTCCGGCCCTTCTGGCATTTGCCAGAATTGCCAGATGGCCAGTCCGCCCCTGCACATACACCTGACATACCACGAATCATGAGTCAGGCAGTCAGGCAGGTTTTTTCAGTTAAAACCATACTGTGAAAAATTCAGGGTTCCACACACTTCATTCATGTTGTCCCAACACAAATCAATTAATTCGACAGTTTAAGTAGATTGAATATAAAGCAATTAAGTTGTCTCCAAAGGGTTTTACAAAAAATTAGGTCAAAGGCACTTAAAAACCATATTGATTATTTGGATAATAAAAAGATTTTTGTTTATTTTAAAAAATTGTTCTCTGGTGGCAAAAGCCTTGTTGGTCAGAGGAGAATGGCCAGACAGGTTCCAGCTGATAGAAAGGCAACAGTAACTCCAATAAGCACTCGTTACAACCGAGGTCTGCAGAAGGGCATCTCTGAACACACAACACGTCCAACCTTGAGACAGATGGGCTACAGCAGCAGAAGGCAACTGAGGCTACAATTCACACAGGCTCACCAAAATTGAGACAGTCTTCACTGCTAGGTCCACTACGTAGTTGACGATCGCCTACACTTCAACCTACCCTAAATCCAACCATTACAGCAGCATGGGCGTTACCTTAGTGAGCAGTACAAGGTCTGCTATGTAGTTGACGATCCCCTACACCTACACCCACCCCTATTCTAAACTTAACCGTTCACAGTAGCATGGGTGCTACCTAGTAAGGCGGTACAAGGTCCATGTAGTTGATGATCGTCTATACCTCCCCTTAACCTAAACCCAACCATCACAGTAGCATGGGCGCTACCTTATTGGGCAGTACAAGATCTGCTACGTAGTTGACGATTGTCTACACCTACACCTCCTTCAATCCTAAACCCAACCGTCACAGTAGCATGGGCGCTACCTTATTGGGCAGTACAAGGTCCAGGTAGTTGACGATCACCTACACCTTCCCCCACCCTAAACCCAACCGTCACAGTAGCATGGGGGCTACCTTAGTGGGCGGTCCAAGGTCCACGTAGTTGACAATCGCCTACACCTCCCCACACCCTAAATCTAATCGTCACAGTAGCATAGGGGCTACCTTAGTTGACGGTACAAGGTCTACTACATAGTTGACGATCGCCTACACCTCCCCCCACCCTAAACCCAACTGCCAAAGTAGCATGGGCGTTACCTTATTGGGCGGTACAAAGTCTGATACGTAGTTGACGGTCGCCCACATCAACTTACTGCAGGCTGCAGCGAGGACATCTTGCCAAAATTGGACAATTGAAGATTGGAGAAACGTTGCCTGGTCTGATAAGTCTCGATTTCTGCTGTGACATTCGGATGGTCGCGTCAGAATTTGGCATCAACAACATGAAAGCATGGATTCATCCTGCCTTCTATCAACAGTTCAGACGGGTGGTGGTGTAATGGTGTAGGGATATTTTCTTTGCACACTTTGGGCCCATAAGTACCAATTGAGCATTGTGTCATCACCACAGCCTACCTGAGTATTGTTGACCATGTCCATTTCTTTATGACCAGAGGGTACCCATCTTAAGGGTCATCATGTCAATCATCTCAGACTGGTTTCTTGAACATGACAATGAGTTCACTGTACTCAAATGGCCTCCACAGTCACTAGATCTCAATCCAATAGAGCACACCTGGGATGTGGTGGAACGGGAGATTCGCATCATGAATGTGCAGCCAACAAATCTCTGAGGAATATTTCCAGTACCTTGTTGAATCTACGAAGGATTAAGGCAGCTCTGAAGGCAAAAGGGGGTCCAACCCGGTACTAGCAAGAACCTAATAAAGTGGCCAGTGATTGTGTAGTATATAGGTGATGTCTATGTGTACATGTTCAATGTGTGTGCGTGAGACTCACGTGGTGAAGGCGGGGTTAACCTTTGCCCCAAGGTAGTATGAGTAGAGGATGAACATGCCGATCATGAAGGCCAGGAACACCATGATGAAGAGCACCATGAACTTGAAGATGTCCTTCACTGTGCGTCCCAGTGAGATCTGCAGCGGTCCGAAGCTCTCGTTGGCTGGGAGGATGTAGGCAATTCGGGAGAAGCTCAGGACCACTGCGATGGCGTACAGACCTTCTGAGATCAGCTGAGGATCCGACGGGAGCCATTTGTCTCTTGCTAAAAAAAAAGGGGAAATTTGACACAAGCTGCATCCCAAATTGCGTACTTATGCACTATTCTACGCCACTTTGTAGTATAAACAGTGTAAGTAGTGTGTTCACACTAAAAACTCTAAAAATAATAAGTGCACTTTAATTACCCGGATGATGCACTCATTCAGCCGCTAAAATGAAGTGTGTAATGATGGACACTTCACGCACTCAACGACCGCAGGCTTGCTCACGTAGCGGAAGGGGCGGAGCTATCGGGCGCACATGTTGGATAACTTTATTTATTTTGGATGGTGAAAGCAAAATTCTCCTATGAGAGTGATTATAGCGCCTCCCGATGGTGAATGCGGTTATACTCGCGGCAGGTATTATTTGATAATTCGGTCATTTATTTGACTGATTTGGCAACCGTCAAACGTCATCAGGGAAACGGTTTGAATTTCCGCTTAGTAAAAAAACAGTGTGCCATTTGGGACGACACTACATACATATACCCTCCTGTTGAGTGTGTAAGTGCATAAGTACATAGTGCATGAGTGCATAGTGTATAGTGTGCCATTTGGGACGCAACTAAAATCTCACGGCAATTCAATTTTTGATTTAGTGCCTAATTCGTATGCACCCTTGTGTGCTTTCGAGGATGTTTTCATCCTCTCCAGGCCTAAACTTTGTCTGTGTTCCAGAAAATGTAATGATTTATGGTGATCTTATTTTGACACATATTTTGTGAAAATGTATTGTAAACGTATGCAAAATGACTACCCTTTGGTAAATATTATTAATATTAATAATTAAATATTATAAAAAAATTATGTGTGCTAACAAAATAAAATATTTAAACAAATTTTAAGTGGTTTAATTTTTTTATATATATTTTTTGTCTTGGTTATTTTTCTAATTTAAATTAAACTAAATAAAAATGACAACAACAAAAAAAAAATCACAGGATGGCCAAAAATTTTTGACTTCAACTGTATATTTCAGTGCTAAGTGTGTTTTTCAGATTCATAAAGTGCATTGAATGTCAGATTCTCTTTAAAAACAACAAGGAACAACAGGTCTTAGATTCTCTCTCACCGTATGTGAAATATCTGACGTCCGGCGGCAGAGTGACCATGGACAGATCTGGAGCGTGGATCTTCTCGTCCACATATTTCTGCGCTTTCATGGCCTGCATGAAGGCAAAGAAGCGAGCAGTGAAAGCGGCGATGAAGATGGAGAGCATCCCGAAATCCAGAACGTTCCACAACTGCATGATGTATTCCCTCGGGCCCTCTGTCCACAGCTCTTTACACTCTGACCACATCATTCCTGCACACATCACACATATTTCATTTTGAGCAATTCCATGCAAATGTCAACCTTGCTATGAAAAGAGTTACGTTTTTACCAAAATAGCGAAACCCTAAGTTTTTTTTTTTTATGTAGGTTTGCACATAAAATGTCTCTGTCAGCGTTTTTAAACAATTACTGTATATTTGATTTCCCAAAGTCACACAAGTGGCAACTTCACATCTGTCACATCCATAAGAGAGGGGCGCCACATCTATAACAAAGCTTTTCCCTCATAAAAGCAAAAAAGTCAAATCAAATAAATCAATCATGTTTGTTCTATAGTGAGCTGACTCTTATCCTTTTGATTAGCATTGTTTCTCGTAGGTTGTGCAGTTTAATTCACAGAATTTCAAGTATGTACTGTAAACTAATCCATAACGGGTCATACTTTACAATAAGTTTCATTAGTTAACGGTAATTAATGCTTTTACTAACATGAACAAACAATGAACAATACATTTACTACGGTATTTATTCATGTTAGTTAACGTTAGTTAATGAAAATACAGTAGTTCATTGTTAGTTCATGTTAACTCATTGTGCATTAACTAATGTTAACAAGCATGGACTTGGATGTTAATAATGCATTAGTAAATGTTCAATTATGATTAATAAATGCTGGACATGTGTTGTTCATGATTAGTTCATGTTAGTAAATGCATTAACTAATGAACCTTATTGTAAAGTGTTACCCCATAATGCATGTTTATTTCCCTCATTTAAAAATATGTTCACAGATTGATATCTTTCTCATCTCATAACTCTATGGTTAGAAGTTTTGGAAAATACACTAATCAGACACTTAATTAGGTACACCTGTTCAACTGCTTGTTAATGCAAATTTCTAATCAGACAATCACATGGCAGCAGCTCAATGCGTTATAGACATGATCAAGACGATCTGCTGCAGTTCGAACTGAGCATCAAAAAGGAAAGGAAAGGTGATTTAAGTGACTTTGAACGTGGCATGGTTGTTGGTGTCAGAAGGGCTGCTCTGAGTATTTCAGAAACTGCTGATTTTGTAATAGCAGTTCACCGGAAGCGCTTAACCCAGGTTGCTGACAAATTAAAAGTCCTTTAGCATACTTCCGCATATACCCAACTGACCCAGCCGAGGCTCGAACCATCGACCTTTTTGCTATGAGGCGACATCTCTACCCACTGTGCCACCACGCACTGCATATATATATATATATATATATATTGCTTTGTTGTTACTTATTTTACTAAATAGGTAATAAATAATAATAAATTTATATATATATATATATATATATATATATATATATATATATATATATATATATATATATATATATGTTTATAAACATATATTTATATATAAATTTATTATTATTTATTACCTATTTAGTAAGATAAGTAAGAACAAAGCAACACAATTACATTTTTAAGCACTTTATTCAAAATTTTAAAAACGTTAGATAAAAATGTTTAGGATTTTCTGATATTTTCAAATACTTAGGAAAATTGTGTATTTCAAACATTTACTTTTTAATAATATGTGATTAATTTGTAATAAAATATTTGAATTCTGTAAGAACGCACTATTTTTAATATAAACTATTTATATTTAGTGAAAACATATCAAGTGTTACTTACTGAATTTTGTTACAAAGATAGCAATCCAAAATCTCAATTGGTTAAAATGTGATTTATTTTTTCTTTCCTCAACATATAATTTATTTTTCATTTCTGGTTAATACCTTATTACTTTTAAGTTAAATTTTATTTTAGTGTAGTTTAGCTTAAGTTTAGATTAGAAGCTGAATGTGAACAAAACAGCATTCTCTTTTAATGGCATTAACAACTGTTAACAAGTTTTCATTTTCAAATATTTCCCAAATGATGTTTATCAGAGCAAGGATTTTATCACAGTATTTCCTATTTTTTTCTTCTAAGTCTGATTTGTTTTATTTTGGCTAGAGTAAAAGCGGTTTAAAAAAAATTAAGGTCAATATTATCAGCCCTCTTAAACAATATATTTTTTCATTGTCTACTGAACAAACCACCGTTATACAAGACTTGCCTAATTACCCTAACTTGCCTAATTATCCTGGTTAAGCCTTTAACTATAAGCTGAATAGTATCTTGAAAAATATCTAGTCAAATATTATTTACTGTCATCACGGCCAGGATAAAAGAAATGAGTTATTAGAGATGATTTATTAAAACTAATATGTTTAGAAATGTGTTGAAAAAACATGAATTGGAAGGGAAAAATATACAGTAGGGCTAATAATTCTGACTTTAACTGTATGTTCATCTTTTTTAACTTATATATCTGCTTTAAATTAATTTTTTATTTTTTTTTATTTTTATTTTTACATTATAGAATTCAAATGGAAAACGACAACAACAGCTAATACAAAATAGAAAATGCAAATCAAAATCTCAATGGATCCAAATGTGATTGATTGTCTTTGCATAACATATCATTTCTTTTTCTATTACATCTGATTATAAGAACCACAATTTGTACATGTGTTTGTAAGATCCACCATTTTTGATGAGACTAGAAAATGATAGTGCAGACAAAACTGACTACAGACTGAGCTCTTTCATATTAACATTTCAAGAAGACATAGAAGATAAGGAAGAGACCAAAAGAGAGAGAGAATAAATCAGACAATCAAAGAGCCGGAGGAGAAAACACTCTGACAGAAAAATTAGGACAGGACCTGGGCAGATTCGTTAAAATGATGAACTAAATTTGCATATTTAAAATTGTAATCTAAGTTAGAAGAATGCCAAAGGAAATCCAAAAAATCCTAGTAATCAAAAACGTCTCTCAGGTTTTGAAAGTGAAAAAAAAAACCACTCCATTAATTCTCCAAACTCCCAGGAGAAACACCACAGGAGGTACAGAAGGGTCACATTGAGCTCTCAACCATCAACACAACATAATAAACCTTCCCACACGCATACACTTCCCCGATGTTACCCTTCAGTGAGCAATATAATCCCATTCTGAACAACAATTCTGAACAAATCTGCAGAGAAAATTCTCTAAGAAATGAAGAATGTTGTAAAATAAAATGTTTAAAAGCATTCTGTAACTCAATAGGAGTGTTAAGGCAACGTTTTTAAACCCAAAACATATTTAACTGAATGCTACAAGCTTGACATATGAACTGGAAACTACTCACACTCAAACACGCACTATTTAGTATATTATTTTGTTTCAGGCATTTGAAATGACGCATGTTCGTTCATCACTGCCAGAACTGCTGAAACAGATTTAATAATGCCAGGCCTTTTGCAGGCAATGCATCACTGAGAGGCCTGAAAGCTGATTGGATTGGCTTTACAACATTTTCCCATTTCGTCTGTGGTTCTGAATGCACCTCATTATACAGCGGGGAAAGTTAGTATTGAACAGGTCATGTTTTCTCCAGGGAAATGAACCACATTTTGGTAAAAACCCAAACAATACAAACATTAAAAAAACACAATTCTGAAAAATGAGTTGTGTAATAATGCAATGACACAAGGAGAAAATACTGAACTACTGAAATGTATTGAATACTTTATATAAAAGGCTTTTTTTGGTGATGGCAGCTTAAAGACGCCTCTCATGTGGAGAATGAAGTCACATACATTGCTCAGGTGAGAGTTTCTCACAGACTTCAACAGAGTGTCAAACTCTTGATAGTTCTGTGGGTCTCGTCTATCAAATCTAAGCTTCATTTTGTATTTTCTATTGGGTTCAAGTCAGGTGACTGGCTGGGCCATTCTACAGATTGCTTTTCTTTCTGTGAAAGCATTCGAGAGTCTCCTTGGCTGTATTCTGGATTATTGTCTTGCTGAAATGTCCACCCTGATTTTATCTTCATCCTCCTGCTAATGTAGATGTTGGACTGATCAGCTGATTTTCATTTACACTGAGGAAGGGCAGAGGGTTGCTGAAGAACTGCTGAGAGATTTCAGCTGCTGTCTGGGCTTTCCATGTCTTTCTACACCTTCCTATTCTTCGTGTGTTCAATACATTTTCTCCTGTGTCATTTCATTTGGCTAAACATAACTTTATTTATAAACTAGTTGGTTTTGTTTTCTTTGCATAAATTGATTTCTTTGATTGTTACCAACGTCTGGAGAATATTTCAAGTCAACGGCACCTTTAGAAACAAATAAATAAATAACAAATTAATTAAATAAATAAATGAACATAAAAACACATAAACAAACAAACAAAATAAACAAGTAAACAAATTATAAAAACAAATAAATAGACATAACAAATAAAAACAAGCAAAGAAACAAACAAATAAATAAACAAGTAAACAAAAGATAAATACACAAACAAACAAAAAAATAAATAAATAAACATACATACAAACAAACAAACAGACAGACAAACAAATAAACAAACAAGCAAACATACAAATAAATACACAAAAATGTCATAAATAAATAAACATAAAACAAACGAAGAGAAACAAACGAACAAATGAATAAACAAGCAAACAAACAAATAATTAAACAAATAAACAAATGTATTATACATAAATAAACATACAGACAAACAAATAAACAAACAAACAAACAAACAAACAAATAAATAAATACACAAAAAATGTAATAAATAAATAAACATACAAACAAACAAACAAAGAGAAACAAATGAATAAATGAATAAACAAGCAAACAAACAAATAATCAAACAAATAAACAAATGTATTATAAATGAATAAACATACATACAAACAAACAGACAAACAAATAAATAAACGAACAAACAAACAAATAAATAAATACACAGAAAATGTAATAAATAAATAAACATACAAACAAACAAACAAACAAACAAACAAAGAGAAACAAATGAACAAATGAATAAACAAGCAAACAAACAAATAAATAAACAAGAAATATGTTTTCTGAGAAAAATGGTGACATATTTAATACTTATTTCCCCCCGCTGTATATTAGGTTTAAAGAAATGGTCTGCATCTGTTTTTCATTATTATTATTAAGAGGAATACTGTTACATT